CTGCTCCTCTGATGCTGCTTGGCCTGCTGCGTTCATCCAGCTCTACACCTTGCTATCTCTGCCCATATGATGCTGGATATGACCTGTCTAATTTCTGATCAATTTCTTGTTGTAGGCCAGTGTGGCATTGTTGCGGGAGGATGGCAACAAATATTTTAAATCAGGAGACTACGAGAGAGCCTTGTCCTGCTATACACAGGCAATTGACCTATCCAAGGACCTGTTAGAGGGCAGGATCCTTTACCGCAACAGAGCAGCCTGCTACCTTAAATTGGTGAGTAAAACCAAAATACGCAAACTTACACAGGCGACCAATGAAAAGTGTGAATTGACTAAGTGTAGTTGGTGTTAACTGATTTTCCAGCTTGTTCCCATGTCTGAATTTTGTGTTTTTTTTCCCCTTACTCACTAGGGGGAGTACTCAAAGGCTGAAGCAGATGCTTCAAAAGGTAGGTGAAAAGAAATGTATGTTTTGTGTATAAATTATTGTTGCTCAGTGATGCCATGTTTACTTGACTGTGTGCAAATGCTGTCCCAGAATGTTTTAATTTGGAATTATCTGAATACCTTGTGTGTCAATTGCCCCATTTGTGATATAATCAGATTGGATCATGAGAACAAAGCATTGGATCAGAAAATACTCTGTGGGGATCTTGGTCAGTTCTTAAGACATCTAACCAAATTATCTTGTTCCTCATTTCACCCTTGTGTCACTCTGGGCTGTGGATTTCACCTGTTTCTCCCCCTTGTTTAAGGTAGTTGAATTTCTGTGTAAATTGACAATGACCCTGAAGAATGTTTGCTCTAAAGCAATGATTGTCTTTTTGTTCTCAGTAATCGAATCAGATGGGAAGGATGTGAAAGCCCTGTTCCGTAGGAGCCAGGCCCTGCAGGAACTGGGAAAGCTGGATCAGGCATTTGCTGATATCCAGAGATGTACTGTTCTGGAACCAAAGAACAAAGTATTTCAGGAATCATTGCGGCAAATTGCAACAAAGGTCCAGGAGAAGGTAAGGAGCATGTGGGTTGGTCAGGGGAGGAGAGACAGATTGGTTGGTGAGAAAAGGCTGTAGGAGAAGAAGCAAAGCCAGAAGGTAGAAAGGGTCAGAGATAACAAGGTG